GGCTCAGAACTTTTTTGCGGGTTATCTCTCCGAACAGGTACTTATCTTGTCTAATTAATCTTAATTTAGAAAAAGTATTATCCCTACTTTCTGAAATAAATGAACATAATAATTCGAACTTATACTGTCCACCTACCATATAAGCGTAAAATGCCTTCGATTCCTAATGAGCTAATTGCTTTACTAACATCTATTAAAAGCTCATCAATTACACTAACTCAACAAGTGCTATGCAAAATAAGACCAGAAAAAAAAAGGCTGACAGTGAGTATTTGATTACGTATCGAGTTTCGTGATATAGAAAAAAAGGAGTCGCGTTAGTAAATGACATTAATCAACAGATATCGATCATCTAGAGATATAGCTAATAGATTGTGTACAGTAGTATCACCAAGTCGGGCAATGCTAATTAAGAACTAATAATGTCGTTAGTATAATGAGTAATTCAATTATGGATAACTCTTGATATCGTTTTTTGAACATTTAAACAACATCACAAAATATAATCAAAAAATTTTATATTTCACTCTTTAATACAGAACAATGTAAATATAAAAAAAACATAAACATAGATTATTATTTACTAATTTTTGGAGTATTTAAAATTTATTTTTCAAATTCCTTTTAAGCAAGACCTAGTTCTTCTCTTTAGTTTGCAGTGTTATTCTTTTAAGTAATTTTTGTTTTCTAGATTCATGTTATCAAATCGTTGGGCAATGTTTTTTAAATTGAATATTTATATCATCTTGTTGCTGTTTGAGGTAGTTAATAAGCTTTTTAAAAAAGTTTCTATATTCTAAAAAGAGGACTGACCATCTTGAATCGACGTTTCTATTTTGCACGGTATTCCCAGTAAGTTGGTACCGTTAAATCGGTACCCTGGAGTGACAGAAGCGTTTTGAGACGTGGCAGTTTGAATAACGTCTTTCAGATCGGCGCAATTCCAGAAATTGTTATCCAGGGAGACATTGGTCAGTTTCTTCATCGAAAACACGTTGATCCAGTTGTTCCTGCTTTCATACTCCACCGTATCCAACAAGTTGTCATCCAGGTAGAGTTCCCGCAGATTGATCATATCTTTAAAAGTGTCATGGGACAGCACCGAAATCTTGTTGTGACTGAGATCTAAAACTGTGAGTTCGACAGGATTGAATTGATCAGGTATTTTTGCTAACTTCTCGTTGTTCAGACTGGTGTTCGAAATGTACAAAGAAGAAATATTGATTCTTTCGGGTGATAATTTCGTTTAGAACGTTGCTGCTTAAGTCAACCAGAGATAAACGCAGATATTCGAAAACAGAAGTGGTGATTGTTGTTAAAAGATTATTGTTTAAGTAGATTTCCTTGAGTAACAGGTGATATTGGAAAACGCCAGTATGGACGTAAGATAGTCTATTTTTACTGACGGTACTGCTTCCAGATTTTTTGGGCCTACAAAAGAGTGTTCGGGGAGGATTGCTATACTATTTTCTGATAAATTTATCTTTTTGAGGTTATCTAGTTTAAAGAAAATTATTCATAGACAAATTTTACGTTTTTTCAAAACTTTCAGAAAATACTCTTTTAATTTAACTTATCAAATTGTTATTCACTCACTTGTTGAAAACGAATAAAATAAATATCAAGATAAAATGTAAACTATAAGTTAATGTGTCATATTGTTTACCTAATCAATGAATAAAAATGTACGAAGTCACAAAAAAATATTCTTAAGATTGTCAAGAATTTAAACCACAAAAATATAATAAAAAATATTTTTATTTCACTTTAATACAGAACAATGTAAATATAAAAAAAACATAAAACATAGATTATTATTTAATAATTTTTGGGGTATCTATTTAAAATTTTATTTTTAAAATTCCATTTTAAACAAGACCTAGTTCTTCTCTTTGGTTCACAGTGTTATTCTTCTTATAGGTGATATAACAGAAACAAATCATAACAACGAGAAGGCAAACCTGCAAAATATTGCTGAAAATTACACCAGAGCTGCTTTCTCCAATTTCAGGTTTTCGCTGATTTAATCTTTCAGCAGGATCGTACAGCTCTTTTGAGGAGGTGTTCATCTTTAAGAAAGTCAATTCTGTTAAATTTTTCATATAGATACTCATCTGACTTAACTTATTTTCGATAGAATCAACGGGACTTGCAGTCTGTTTTTGATTCTCAATTGAGTTTTCACTTGTTTGTTCGTATTTCTTCACTTGCAATTGATCGGTATTTAAAATTTTCTCTGGAGTATTATTATTTGTAATGTGGCTGTTTTCCAAATATTTTTTTAAGATATTTTTAATTTTGTTTTCTAGATCCATGTTATCAAATCGTTGGGCAATGTTTTTAAATCGAATATTTATATTATCTTGTTGCTGTTTGAGGTAGTTACTGCTTTTTAAAAAGTCTTCTATATCTCTAAAAGAGGACCGACCATCTTGAATCGACCTTTTCATTTTGCACGGTATTCCTAGTAAGTTGGTACCGTTAAATCGGTACCCTGGAGTGACAGAAGCGTTTCGAGACGTGGCAGTTTGAATAACGTCTTTCAGATCGGCGCAATTTCAGAAATTGTTATCCAGCGAGACATTGGTCAGTTTCTTCATCGAAAACACGTTGATCCAGTTGTTCCTGCTTTCATACCTCACCGTATCCAACAAGTTGTCATCCAGATAGAGTTCCCGCTGATTGATCATATCTTTAAAAGTGTCATGGGACAGCACCGAAATCTTGTTGTGACTGAGATCTAAAACTGTGAGTTCGACAGGATTGAATTGCTCAGGTATTTTTGCTAACTTCTCGTTGTTCAGACTGGTGTTCGAAATATACAAAGAAGAAATATTGATTCTTTCGGGTGTATTATGAATAATTTCGTTTAGAACGTTTGCTGCTTAAGTCAACCAGAGATAAACGTAGATTTTCAAAAACAGAAGTGGTGATTGTCGTTAAAAGATGATTGTTTAAGTAGATTTCCCCTTCAGTGACAGGTGATATTGGAAAACGCCAGTAGGGACGTAAGATATTTTATTTTTACTGAGGTCTACTACTACCAGATTTTTTGGGCCTACAAAAGAGTGTTCGAGGAGGATTGCTATACTATTTTCTGATAAATTTATCTTTTTGAGGTTATCTAGTTTAAAGAAAATTATTCATAGACAAATTTTACGTTAAGTCATACTTTCTCAAAACTTTCAGAAAATACTGTTTTAATTTGGCTTATCAAATTGTTTATTAAACTCACTTGTTGAAAACGAATAAAATAAGATATCAAGATAAAATGTAAACTATAAATTAATGTGTAATATTGTTTACCTAATCAATGAATAAAAATGTACAAAGTCATCAAAAAAATGTCCTTAAGATTGTCAAGAATTTAAACCACACAAATATAATCAATAATATTTTTATTTCACTTTAATACAGAACAATATAAATATAAAAAAAAACATAAAACATAGATTATTATTTAATAATTTTTGGAGTATCTATTTAAAATTTTATTTTTAAAATTCCATTTTAAACAAGACCTAGTTCTTCTCTTTGGTTTGCAGTTTTATTCTTCTTATAGGTGATATAACAGAAACAAATCATAACAACGAGAAGGCAAACCTGCAAAATATTGCTGAAAATTACACCAAAGCTGCTTTCTCCAATTTCAGGTTTATGCTGAGTTAATCTTTCAGCAGGATCGTACAGCTCTTTTGAGGAGGTGTTCATCTTTAAGAAAGTCAATTCTGTTAAATTTTTCATATAGATACTCATCTGACTTACTTATTTTCGATAGAATCAACGGGACTTGCAGTCTGTTTTTGATTCTCAATTGAGTTTTCACTTGTTTGTTCGTATTTCTTCACCTGCAATTGATCGGTATTTGAAATTTTCTCTGGAGTATTATTATTTGTAATGTGGCTGTTTTCCAAATATTTTTTTAAGATATTTTTAATTTTGTTTTCTAGATCCATGTTATCAAATCGTTGGGCAATATTTTTAAATTGAATATTTATATTATCTTGTTGCTGTTTGAGGTAGTTACTGCTTTTTAAAAAGTCTTCTATATCTCTAAAAGAGGACCGACCATCTTGAATCGACCTTTTCATTTTGCACGGTATTCCTAGTAAGTTGGTACCGTTAAATCGGTACCCTGGAGTGACAGAAGCGTTTCGAGACGTGGCAGTTTGAATAACGTCTTTCAGATCGGCGCAATTCCAGAAATTGTTATCCAGGGAGACATTGGTCAGTTTCTTTATCGAAAACACGTTGATCCAGTTGTTCCTGCTTTCATACTCCACCGTATCCAACAAGTTGTCATCCAGATAGAGTTCCCGCAGATTGATCATATCTTTAAAAGTGTCATGGGACAGCACCGAAATCTTGTTGTGACTGAGATCTAAAACTGTGAGTTCGACAGGATTGAATTGCTCAGGTATTTTTGATAACTTCTCGTTGTTCAGAGTGGTGTTTGAAATGTACAAAGAAGAAATATTGATTCTTTCGGGTGATAATTTAGTTTAGAACGTTGCTACTTAAGTCAACCAGAGATAAACGCAGATATTCGAAAACAGAAGTGGTGATTGTTGTTAAAAGATTATTGTTTAAGTAGATTTCCTTGAGTAACAGGTGATATTGGAAAACGCCAGTATGGACGTAAGATAGTTTATTTTTACTGACGGTACTGCCTCCAGATTTTTTTGGGCCTACAAAAGAGTGTTCGGGGAGGATTGCTATACTATTTTCTGATAAATTTATCTTTTTGAGGTTATCTAGTTTAAAGAAAATTATTCATAGACAAATTTTACGTTTTTTTCAAAACTTTCAGAAAATACTGTTTTAATTTAACTTATCAAATTGTTTATTAATCTCACTTGTTGAAAACGAATAAAATAAATATCAAGATAAAATGTAAACTATAAATTAATGTGTAACATTGTTTACCTAATCAATGAATAAAAATGTACAAAGTCACAAAAAAATGTTCTTAAGATTGTCAAGAATTTAAACCACAAAAATATGATAAAAAATATTTTTATTTCACTTTAATACAGAACAATGTAAATATAAAAAAAACATAAAACATAGATTATTATTTAGTAATTTTTGCAGTATCCATTTAAAATTTCATTTTTAAAATTCCATTTTAAACAAGACCTAGTTCTTCTCTTTGGTTTGCAGTTTTATTCTTCTTATAGGTGATATAACAGAAACAAATCATAACAACGAGAAGGCAAACCTGCAAAATATTGCTGAAAATTACACTAGAACTGCTTTCTCCAATTTCAGGTTTTTGCTGAGTTAATCTTTCAGCAGGATCGTACAGCTCTTTTGAGGAGGTGTTCATCTTTAACAAAGTCAATTCTGTTAAATTTTTCATATAAATACTCATCTGACTTAACTTATTTTTGATAGAATCAACGGGACTTGCAGTCTGTTTTTGATTCTCAATTGAGTTTTCACTTGTTTGTTCGTATTTCTTCACCTGCAATTGATCGGTATTTGAAATTTTCTCCGGAGTATTATTATTTGTAATGTGGCTGTTTTCCAAATATTTTTTTAAGATATTTTTAATTTTGTTTTCTAGATCCATGTTATCAAATCGTTGGGCAATGTTTTTAAATTGAATATTTATATTATCTTGTTGCTGTTTGAGGTAGTTACTGCTTTTTAAAAAGTCTTCTATATCTCTAAAAGAGGACTGACCATCTTGAATCGATGTTTCTATTTTGCACGGTATTCCCAGTAAGTCGGTACCGTTAAATCGGTACCCTGGAGTGACAGAAGCGTTTCGAGACGTGGCAGTTTGAATAACGTCTTTCAGATCGGCGCAATTCCAGAAATTGTTATCCAGCGAGACATTGGTCAGTTTCTTCATCGAAAACACGTTGATCCAGTTGTTCCTGCTTTCATACTCCACCGTATCCAACAAATTGTCATCCAGATAGAGTTCCCGCAGATTGATCATATCTTTAAAAGTGTCATGGGACAGCACCGAAATCTTGTTGTGACTGAGATCTAAAACTGTGAGTTCGACAGGATTGAATTGATCAGGTATTTTTGCTAACTTCTCGTTGTTCAGACTGGTGTTCGAAATGTACAAAGCAGAAATATTGATTCTTTCGGGTGTATTATGAATAATTTCGTTTAGAACGTTGCTGCTTAAGTCAACCAGAGATAAACGTACATTTTCAAAAACAGAAGTGGTGATTGTCGTTAAAAGATTATTGTTTAAGTAGATTTCCTTCAGTGACAGGTGATATTGAAAAACGCCAGTAGGGACGTAAGATATTTTATTTCTGCTGACATCTACTACTTCCAGATATTTTGGGCCTACAAAAGAGTGTTCGGGGAGGATTGCTATACTATTTTCGGATAAATTTATCTTCTTGAGGTTATCTAGTTTAAAGAAAATGCCGCCGATGTTTGATATATTATTCTTAGACAAATCTAAGTCGTAAACATTCTGAAACCTTCCAAAAAATGATGGTTTAATTTTATTTATCGAATTATTTAATAAACTAACTTGTTGAAAACGATTGAAATCAATATCGGAAGCACTAAGAATAGGAAAAGAAGAATTGGTAATAATTAATGCAAAGTAAGGGGAGGCTCGGAGTCTAGAATAATAATCTATGTCGTAATTTAAGGTTATATTGGAACAAAAATTGGCCGAACGCGAACGGCTTCCGTCGCTATCACTCTTTAGAAGCTTGTAATTTATACTTCTTTCTTCACATTTCTGTGATTCACTCACATTTAATACTGACAGAATTAACGTGACAAACCATAAAACATGTGACGGTAACATTGTTCCACCTAAAAAAAGGAGAAAATATTAAATTAAGGCATACTTAATAGATTTATTAATTAATCGTTTTTAAGAGAGCGACATGTTTCATAATTCAAAATGTCTATTTCTTGAGCATTTATACTCAAGAATAAATAAATAAATAAATAAATAAATGCCTTTATTGTCAAAATTTTTTTTCAATTTCTAGACAAAGGTAAACTAACAAACAAAGTAAAAAAACAAGGTACACAAACAAACAAACAAAAGATAATACAAAACATTATACAAATAATATTGTCAGTCTTATTGTTTAAAATAAACATTTATAAATGTTTACAATGTCAAAGAACAAAAAAATAGAAATAATGTTCAAAAATATTTAGTTTGTTTATAGTAAAATATCAATGGCCTCTAAATAAATTTATTTCGAGGTCATTAGTAAATATAGCAATAGCAAACATTAGACCAGTATTTACAAGATCAAATTCGATTTTCAAAATATAATTCATTTACGGCGTAGAAAGCCTTGTCTAGTAAATAAGAGTTCAATGCTTTGCGAAATGAAAAAAATGATGTTATGGATTTGATTTCAAATGGCAGGTGATTGTGCATTTTTTTCGAGTTGTATAATATTGAACTTTTAACTAACTCTGAGCGTGGGGTAGGTAGATAAAGATCTTGCTCCGCGTTCCTGAGTGGATAAGTACGAGATGGCCTTTCTTGCGAAGCTATGATACATGCTTACGTATTAGGCAAATGGATTCAAATATAAATCAGGAAGGAAGAGTTAATATACAGGGTTGTTCATCACAAACGACACGGAGTATTGTAGCTAAACGATTAGATTTTTACAAATTGTAAGTTTTGGGGTCGTTGAAGGACTATTGGAGCTACAATTTAAAAATATGTTTACAAGATACAGAGTGTCCCAAATAAATAAAAAATATCAAAGTTGTATTTTTTTAAATGGAACACCCTGTATATTATTTTATTTTTGCATTCTATGATTGAAATAAAGGTAAATTTGGTTAAGGTTTATCACTCTTAAATCTTACAGTTTTTGAAATATTTTCAATTTTGCAGTCAAAATTTTAAGGCTTCATTTCTCCAAGGGTATCAAAGTTTTCAAAACTAAATATTTACTGAAGTTTAATTATTGATCAGTTATTGTGTTGCAATAATAAAAATAATACTGCCTCATACAGAGTGTCTAAAAATTTATTTAAAATAATTTCTAGCTTTAAACGGCAATAACTTGTTTAATTTAAATGGGACACCCTGTATATTTTAGGAGAATCAGATGCACAATTTAATTGTCCATCAAATTGTATTATACCATTTTTTACATATCCCTTCAAGTTTTCCTAGAAAATGCATTTTCTAATAATTTAGACCTCATTTATCAATATATCCATGGAATATTGACATTTTAGATTGTTTTTAAAGCAACAAATGTACAAAATGTACAGGTGCTAAAAACTATATATTATATATAGTTTTTAGCACATTTTCATGACTATATATATATATATATACATATATATATATATATATATATATATATATATATATATATATATATATATATATATATATATATATATATATATATATATATATATATATATATATATATATATAGATAATATTACGAGCCTATTTTTATACAAAAATAAAACTATTTAAATCTTTATAAAAGACTATACCATTAATTAAATATACCACCAGTATTTCCGCCCAAATATTTATTAATTGCATATTTAATTCTGTTAGTTAATAAATTATTCTAAATAAATGGGGATTTAGAATCAGAAATCAATATAATAATAAGTTATGAGATGAACGTCTCTGTTGTTATAAATAAGCATTCGTCAAAAAATAAAATAAAATTTTTAAGGTGTTACTTTTTACCACACTGTCTAATACACATACAAAATTCAGTTTTTAGTATTGGGAGCAATTATTATTAATCAATGCAAGCAGTCCATTAATGTAGTTTGAATACTGGAATCATATTAATTGGTCCTTTTTACAAATATTTAAACATTTTTTTATTATTTTTTCATGACATAAACGAACTATATTCGTAGAGCCAGCAATAAGCAACCGTTAAGGTTTTCATAAAAACTGAGACCGGATCAGAAGAATATTGCACGTCGCTTGGATGGCCAAAATGCCAGTAACAAAGATCGTCTTGTTACAGTAACACTACTGAATTTTGAAGGAACAAGATATCAGAGCGACGTTTGAATTTTATTATTTGTCAAATTAGGGTTGCATAAAAATGCTAGATTTTGACGTTCTTTACGTTTGACGACAGGGTTTTTGCTCTCTCTGTCTTCTCAAACAAAGCCCAAAAGCTTACAAATTATTATGAGCAACATTTGTTTTTCCATCATGCAAAACTCTTATGAATTTATTGAATAAAATTCATTTTACTAACAGAATTGTACCAAAAATTATGAGAACTTTACTGATTTCAATACAACAATAATAGAATTGTATTCTTTAGATAAAAACTTGGGTACCTACTAATATTTGATAAAATATCCGTAGAGCCAGCAATAAGCAGCTGTTTAGGTTATTTTCATAAATAACTTTAAAAATTTGTTACATCTTTAAAAATAATCTAAAATGTCAATATTTCATAGGTATATTGATAATTGAGGTCTAAATTATAAGAAAATGCATTTTCTACGAAAACCTGAAGACATAGGTAAAAAATGACATAATATATTTAATAGACAATTAAATTGTGCATCTGATTCTCATAAAACATACAGGGTGTTCCATTTAAATTAAAGAAGTTATTGCCGTTTAAAATTAGTTATTATTTAAAATAAATTTGTAGACACTCTGTATAAGGTAGTATAATTTTTATTATTGCAACACAAAATTTAGTAAATAGAAATACTTCAGTACAATATTTGGTTTTAAAAACTTAAATACGCCTAGAGAAATAAAGCATTATAACTATTACCTCAGAATATCTAGCTACGCAACAGAAGCCTCGTTAAGGTGCGTATTCATTATCCGCACGAACGAACGAACGAACGAACGAATGTTCGCTAGTGGTATGGACGGGGACCGTACGATAGAACCGCACGATAAGACCGGAGGCATTTGTTGGCGAACGCCTTTGATGTACCGACTCGAAACGGATGGTCGAGCGAACGAACGAACGAACGGCCGCATGCGTTCGGTCCCCGTCACTTTCATTCGTTCGTTCGTTCGTTCGTTCGGATAATGAATACGCACCTTTACATGTATAAAATTGTAGGTAGCAAAAGGAGACAGGCTTTAAAAGTCTGTCTCCAAATCAGATATTTTGATGTGGTAGTTTCGCTACTACCGAGGGGTAAACCGCAGAGGAATTATGGTGTACACTATGAAGGAATTCTACAGAAATTCCAAGGAATTACGAGGAATTCCTAGGAATTACTAGGAATTCCAATGATTTCCGTAAGAATTCCGATGAATTCCAAGGAATTCCTTAGGAATTTAGAGGAATTCCACAGGAATTAAGAGGAATTACAAGCAACTTTATAAAAAATTAACGAACATTAGTAGACCATGAATACTAGAATAGGTAGTACTGAATTTAAAGAAAAACGTTTTGCAGGCGATTTTTTACTATCTGTTTTTCGTTTTCGAATCGCTTCCAAAATTTCCTAATATCAAATATCTACAGGTTAGATATTCTTTTAATTTAATATTGTACCCTCGATTATATATCTAAAATATATTCCAATAGTACGGCAGAACCACCCACGAGAGATCTACTTATAACGTTCCCTGATTTCGCCATTTTAAAGAAACCCTCATAAGATTTTTTTTATTCACTCACTTTATACTCAGAAAGTTGTTTTTTTCATTTCCTCGGAATAATACCTAGGTATAATATAGGGAAATTAATTCAACTTTGGGTGCACTTCATCAATGACACCATGCGTAATCTTATGGAATTTACTGGTGATCGTATTATGACGTGCAACTGAAGTTTTATTAATTTCCTTTCCTATAGATACAACTAGGTACCTATTATTTTCAAAAAATCCCGAGATAAATTAATTTTAATAAGTAAGTGCCGACATATTTCCAGTATTTTCACCTAATGATCCCCTATTAGTCCTAAAATTTAACTAAAAAACGTAAATCTCGTAATAGTACTTTTTATTGTTAGATCTAGTACTTATAGAGACATTAGACATTTATAAAAATCACGAGAAAATTCATTGCGGAACTGCGAAACCGAGGTGGCAACGCTGATTCAGAGTTACCGAGTTCGTACCAAGGAATTCTAAGGAAGACCTTGAATGATTGACCTTAACCTTGAAGACCAAGGAATTCCAAGGAATTCCGAAGGAATTACGAGGAATTCTGAGGAATTATTTGAGTAAAAGGAATTACGGTGTACACTTTTCCCTCTGCGGTTTACCCCTCGGCTACTACATAATAGAGGGCAATAAATTTAAAAGAAAACAGTTTTCTACAAACAAAATTTAAAAGAATTTTGTGCAGTGTTGCCATTGTGTAATTCATATCGTAATACTTCCTGATAAAGCCTGCCTTCTAATTTGCTACATCATTTAAACATATTAAAATAGATCAGAGCTGTTTTTTTCACTTTGCCATGTTAGTTGGAATTAAATCTTATGAGCTAAATTACAATCACTTCCTGACGTTTGATTGTATAATTGAATCCTGAATTTTCATTGTAATTCGGCGACAATATAATAAGTATTGTTCTACTATTATGATACCACTTCCTGACGTTCGATTGTGTTCATACCAAGTTCATATTGTATAATCGGGAAAAACGGCGTTAGCGATAGCTATGAAATTAATATCACTGTCATTTTATATGTAAATTTATATGGGAAATGTCATCGATCGTCCTTTTCCAGCCAACTGGACGCCGTTTTCTTCAGAAGCATATCAAGTGATACCATAATATAGTACTATATTACGATACATGGCGTTCGATTGGGCTTAAACTTGGTATACTATATCTTCAGTGACATTGTAATATCATGGTACCATGGAGCATATAAAGTGGTACCTTCTATAGTACTATATTTGATGACATAGCAATATTAGGTACATCGCGGCAATAGGGCTTAAACTTGGTATACTACGTATTTTCGGTGACATTGTAATATGATGGTACTATGATGCCTATCATCTATCAATGCCATCATCTATCACCATAATATAGTACCATATTATGTACATGGCGTTCGATTGGGCTTAAATTTGGGATACTACGTATCTTCGGTGATATTGTAATATTATGGTACCATGGAGCATAAAAGAGGTACCATATTACGATACCATTTCCTGGCGTTCGATTGGACTTAAACTTGTTATACTACGTATCTTCGGTTACATTGTAATATGATGGTACTATGATGCATATAAAGTGGTACCTTAATATAGTACCATATTTCAATACCATTTCCTGGCGTTCGATTGAGCTCATATTTGATATATACTTGCGTATTTTGATGACATGCATTATGGTACCATGAAGCATACCAACTCGTACCAAATATAGTACTATATTACGTACATGGCGTTCGATTGGGCTTAAACTTCATATTATTATATTATACTACGTATTTTCGGTGACATTGTAATATGATGGTACTATGATGCATATAAAGCGGTACCTTAATATAGCACCATATTACGATACCATTTCCTGGCGTTCGATTGGGCTTAAACTTGGTATACTACGTATCTTCGGTTACATTGTAATATGATTGTACTATGATATATATAAAGTGGTACCTTAATATAGTACCATATTACGATACCATTTCATGGCGTTCGATTGTTCTTAAATTTGGTATATTACGGATCTTCTGTGACATTGCAATATTATGGTACCTTAAAGCATATCAAGTGGTACCATAATATAGTACACTATTATGATATAATTTCCTGGAGTTCGATTGGGCCCAAATTTGGTATACTTGCGTTTCTTTATAAAGATTTCTTTAATTAATAATTTTAATTTATTTTACGAATTTTAATTTATTGTTCGATGTCGTGACAGCAACTTTTATGCCGAACTAATATATTATTAATTGTACCTGTGTCACTTTTTAAAATCTACCTAGATCTATATAAATAACGTGGCAAACGGAAGAAATTTGTTATTATAGTATATTTTAGTGAGTTAACACTTTTTGTACTGCATTTTAATAAATTATTTCCATTATTATTAAACTTATATTTCATTACTAACGTTCCAGCATTAATACATATCACTATCAATCGCCCTGTATATTATTAATTTTAAAGGTAATTAAAGGTATTTTCTTAGTTAACATTATAAGGTATAGTGTATATTAAAAATGTATATGTTTTGTAATAATATACTTAAAACTATTTTAATAGCCAAAGGATTAATTAATATAAGTGTATCTGACAAGAAAAGAAGAATAGAAAGAAACACATACTGCATTATACACAATAAAAAGAATGGGATGCCAATTCAAGTCTTTTTGAATCTGACAACTGTGCATATTTAGCCGAGCTATAAGGCCGTCGACGAGCCGTCTATCCAAAACCGAAAGTTCAAAATTTCTAATTATATCCTGATTATGATATTGTCGCGCCATCTAGTATTCTATTTGTGCAATTTTAGCTCTTTCATTTCGAGTATTTTTCTGTTGCGTAGCTAGATATTCTGTGCTATTACCTACTGTATTTTGACAAAAACCTAAATATTTCAAAAACGGTAAGATTAAAATGCGATAAACCTTAATCAAATTTACCTTTATTTTAATCGTAGAAACTAAAAATTTAATAATATACAGGGTGTTCCATTTAAAAAAAATACAACTTTGCTATTTTTGTAAAAATATTTTTAAATTGTAGCTCTAATAGTCCTTCAACGAACCCAAAACTTACAATTTTCAAAAATCTAATAGCTAATCTCTATCTAATTCTGATGTAAATTAAAAAATGCGACTTATTTAGTAGGTACTATAATTTGCTGACTAAACTAATATCAAATAATTATAGAAAACAATAAAAATATAACTTACCTTATAATGAAGAAATTCCAATAATAAAGAATATTAAATAGTTAATTGTCGCTGAATTTGTTAATTTTATTTATACACTTCTTCTCTGAGAATAATAGACATAATACTATTTGTATCATTATATCAATCACTGAGTGGGACGTAAAATAATTTAAAACGTGTATCCTGTATTTAAATTGCGATAAGAAAGCACACTTCGTTTATGTCGATTCAGATGTTTGTTGAAAACAAAAGAAATACGAAAAATGTCGAGCTAATCACTATTTTTAAGATACCGCATGATCGAAAAAAAAACGGCGTCGAAGGCGGCAGGGGAATGAAAATCGATGATAATTTTGGCGAGGTCAAGCCCTAGACGTTATTTACTTGGCCGGTACTTTTCTTTATTTTTTAACGGCACTTACAGCCAGTGGGCTTTAAGAAGCTTTTTGAAACAGATTTGTGTGTCCGGAAAAATTCTATTTTTTTTTATCTTTCTACAGTTTTAGTGTTTATTGTTAGATGACGTTTTATGTCAATTTTTAGTGAATGATGTCTAGAGATTGACCTCGCCAAAATGATCATCGACTGTTGACTTTTTTAAAAGAAAAAAAAATCGTTTTGTAAAATATTTCTAATTAATTTCTAATAATATGATCCTAAAATCATCTAAGAATATATTGCCAACTATTCCAAACATCAAACATTTTTGCCCCATCCTGTATATTAGTTTATCATTTTACAGGATGCTAAATTCAGAGCCACAATGTATTTCATAAATAAAACAAGCTTTTTGTAATTGTAGATAGATATATTAGAAAATACCGTATGATTGAGAAAAAACAGCGTCAGCGATGGCTATGAAATGAAGATCGCTGTCAGTTTATATGGGAAATGTCATCGTTCGTCATTTCCCAGCCAACTGGACGCCATTTTTTTCGATCATACGGTACATGATACAATGTCTGTCTATACAAGGTTTATTTGTTCTCTCTGATTCTGATTCACAATAAATTTTTGTTTGTAAATAAAATAGCAAAAATAAGCCAGCATACAAGCCATTGAAGACAATAAAAAAATGGTAAAAATTTCTCCAAATTTGCCATCTTCCTTGTTAAATCTTTCAAGTAACAATTTATTTAATTCAAATAATTGACTATTACTTGGATCGTTATAAGTTGAATTAATCTTTGGTAAAATTGAACGAATCTGATTTAATTCAAGATTGTTGTTCTCCGACAAAAGAATCAATGAATTTAATTTTTTTTCGAAATTTGATGCATTAACTTCACCAGCTTTTTCTTGAGTATCTAATATTGAAGTTTGTTTAATATCATTTTTGGAATTTAGCAAGTCCAGAATAGTTTTCTTAAAATTGTTTTGTTGCTCCAAATTTCGATTATTATTTTTTTCTATTTCGTTGGTTACGTTTTTGAGAAATTCTAAACTAGTCTGATTTCGGGTCGACTCAAGCTGAGTTATTCGTTTGAAATTATTTTCAATTTTACTTTCAAGCTTCATAGTTTTGTTCTCCTTCTTCTTCAAGTCCACTACTACGTCATCGACATTTTTTAACAGTCGTTCCAAAATTTGACTTATATTTTTATGGAAATCAGTGTCTGCCAAGGTTTCTTTTGAGAGACTGGTGTTATATGGTTGAACATTCATTCTACAACGTATACCCAACATGTTGCTTTCGTTAAAATGATTTCCACGAGCTACATATACTTGCTTTGCTGTGAGAATATGTAGAACTTCTTTCAAATCATGACAGTTCCATATGTTGTTGTCTAAGGAAACGTTTCTTAATCGTGGCATTGTGTTGAATATATTAAACCAGTTATTCTTAGAACTATATTCCACTGAATCTAACAAATTGTCGTTTATATACAACGCTGCTAGATTACTCATATTTTTAAATGTTTGAAAATATAACGATGAAATGTTGTTAAAGCTAATGTCCAATTTTTCTAGCCGAGGACAGTTGAAGAACTGACAAATATTGCGCAACTTTTCGTTTTCTAAAGTTGTGTTTGAAATATGTAATTTTTTTACATTTATGATCGATGTACTTGCTCCAGTAAACTCTTGTAGTTTATTACCATTTAAGTTGAACAAAGATGGGTCTAAATCTTTAAAGACATCCGTGCTTAGTGTTGTTATTAAATTGTTGTTGAGGTAGATGTCCTGAAGTTATTGTTGAGATTGAAACATATGTGAAGGCAAAAATTCAATCCTATTCTCGCTCAAATCTAATATTCTCAATTGATCTAGGCCTAATAACAGATGTTTATCTAAATTGTTTAAAATGTTTTGAGATAAATTGAGTTTTTGAAGGTTATTTAACTTGTAGAATAGTCCACCACTTATCTCGGAAATATTATTTCTAGCCAAATTTAAGTCTCTAAGTTGAGAAAAGGAACTGAAAAATGTAGGTTCAATGTCGTTAATCGAATCATTAGTCAGACTTAATACAATTATATTTACGGTACTCCGGAATGGTAGCAGTACTGAAATGTTTACGTTTGATATTACAGTTGAGGGTTGGAACCTTTGGTGTTAAACAGCAAAATAAAAACACTAAATCACCACAATACACCAAAACAATTTTACTTTTACACTGGACGCGCGTTTCGCTAACCATGTTAGCATCATCAGCAGATGATTATAAACTCAAGGTTTATAGTTTATAATCATCTGCTGATGATGCTAACATGGTTAGCGAAACGCGCGTCCAGTGTAAAAGTAAAATTGTTTTGGTGTATTGTGGTGATACGTTTGATATATTCAATGCCTCAATTTGTCCGTATCTGCTTTCCAGCATATTTGTTATAGACGCAAAATTATTCGAATTTATATATGTACAATATATTTCTCGAATAATGTTGTAATTATCCCAAGGAATAGACCTGGCTTCGCAGTTATGGTCCACGGTAAGTTCTGCCTTATTCGAAGACACCCACCAGAGAATAATTGTGAACGACCAAAGCTTCTTCATTGTAAATCTGTAAATAATAACAACAGTTGTAATACAGGGTGGCCCATCGAAAACGTTCCGCAAGGCATAACGGCCAGAGTATTCCTTTTTTCAAAAAATCCAAAAACACGTAAATTTTGTTTGTGAGGGGGACAACTTTTGCCCCAAAAACGATTGCAAAATCTACAACCCTCTAAGCGGGGCCGTCATCCCCCAACTTTTTTCAAACGGGCAGGGGGTCAAGTGGCACCGCAATGAAAAGAGCTTTCTATTCTCTATATTTCCCCGCTTCGTTTTTGAAAATCGGTATAGTGATTGAGAAAATATGAAGGATTAAAATTTAAAAAGTTTATTTAAACATTTATCAGAGTAAATGATAAGGATAAATTCCTTCGACCAATTTGCTGTTTTTTCTTATTATTTCTAGATGGTTACGCATTTTTTCACTTGCCACAAGTTTGAACGATCAGGTGCGGTCGTTGCTAGATAGCTGTTCTGTGACTTGTAATAATAATATTTAATAATAATATTTATTTATTTCCAAATTATGTTACAAAAAACATAAAGAGAAATATCGTCAAACATCAAAATAAATATTCCAAAGCATATTACACATATTTTACAAAAATTAGATAAGTCTACTTACATAAACGGGAAAATATATAGAAAAAAAATAAACCTAAAATTTACAATATTGGATATAATTCAACAATATTTCCTTAATCCTAATTAACCATTGAAATTAAAAAATTCTGGCAAGCTATAAGGCTCTATATTTAATAAATAATTTTTTAACTTAAATTTAAATTCGCTTAACTTTCCACAGAGTCTAAGTGTTAAGGGCAGTTCATTATAAAACTTTAAACACATATACAAAGGGCTTTTTTCCGTAATCGCAAGTTTATGAGCGGGATAGTTTAGTAAATTCTTTCTAGTATTGTACTGATGTATTATGTTACTCTCAAAACATTCTCTATTCATGTAAAAATATACTAAACATTCATAAATATATAATGCATATACTGTCATAATTTTTTCACTCTTAAAGATCCCTCTACACGATTCGTTGAAATTCATTTTTCTTACAGTGCGTATTACCCTTTTTTGTGTTACAAACAGTCGTTGTATTTTGCTGTTGTACGTTGAAGTTCTTCTCAATATCGTTAAACTGACCCACAATAGAATTTTCAAAAATACCAGCCTACAGGTTCAATGTCTGAGGGTTTTGTGTGTGCATCTCGTGAAAAACCCTGGGGTTGTCCTCGGCCCAGTACCGACAGATGTGCCGATTAACTACACCGTTCAAAAAGAAAGTACACTTATCCGAAAAACACACATTAAATAGGAAATTATTATCATTCGCCACTCGTTCATTCATAGTTTCACAAAATTGCAAGCGACAATCAAAATCGTCTTCGTTGAGTTCTTGTACCAACTGAATTTTGTAAGGGTGGAACTTGTGTTTTTTTCCTTTGGCCACTTGTACGATTCACGCCGGTCTCATTGGCTAATTGTACTCAGCGTACTATCTATGGCAACTTGGCCCAATATGAATACCTCCGTAGCTTCATTTACTACAGGATTTTTCCTCTGCCTGTTTTTATTCATAACGGAACCAGTTTCGCGAAATTTTGCTACTAACTAGCGAACAATTTTGCCATAAAGGTGTTTGTCAGGATGGCCTTCATTGAATATCTGCGCAACCCGATACATTCATTATTTTTAAAATAAAGTTCGATTATTTCCACTTTTTATGCAAGTGAGTACACCATAATTGCTAAAAAGTTTAACGATATTGAGAAGAACTTCAACGCACAAATCACAGAACAGCTATCTAGCAACTACCGTAGAATTTTTTTAGAATTTAGAATGAGTGGGAGGGGGGTTAATCACTTCGACCTCACAGATCCATTGTGTCCCCCTTTCTTGAATCATAACTCATCATACAGTCCCAGGGCTTTGACAAAAGCCAGTATCTGGGACGGTTTTATAGAGGGTAGTTCTCCATCTCCAATATCAGTCGTACCAAAATTCATGGCACGAATGGTTGTCATCTCGGCGCACTCAGTGATGAGGTGTACTGGTGTTTCCCCATCTTCCCCACAGAATCTGCATTCGCCGTTTCTTCTTAGTTTCAATCTACTGAGGTGTTCGTTGAGGAGACAGTGTCCTGTTAAAAACCCCGTGACAATCCGAAGATTGTTCTTACTCAGACCCAGGAAGATCTGTGATTTTTCTTCATC